AGCAATATAGGAGGGAACAGGAGAGCCAAGGTGCTTTTCTTCTAGTTACTTCCACCAGGCCACAGGTGTCTCCCTCCCGTGGCCAGCCTAACACATGGCCAGCCTAACACACACACACACACACACACACACACACACACACACACACACACACACACACGCACACACGCTCTTTCCTTCTGCCTCACTTCATCCCATTCCAGCCACTCAAGTGCCTGGTCTGTCCCCTCTTCTCGGAAACCTTTGTCAGGCGCGGCACCGTCACAACCTTACTTTTTGAGCTTCTTTCGTTTCTGAATAAGCAACTCTTCATTGCACTGAAACAGCAGCGTATAATGAGAGATGAACACGCGGAGGCGCTGAACACACACCAGCAGTAGATAATAGTCGGGGTGTTCCTGCTCTGTGAACTTCAGAACATTCTGGATGGAAGGGAAAAGGAATCAGTGGCGCACAGCTAGGCTGAGAAAGTTGCTCCATCCCTTCCGCACCTCACTTTGAGCTGCCGTGAGTCCAAACCAAATCAATAATAGAAACAACCCAAACACATGGTCCATCTATCCAATCGGCTGCAAGCTCAAACTTGCTGCTCTGTCCATCACATCAAAAGAATATAAGGCATTCTGTTCTGTGTGAGTTGAAAAGTTGGCAAGACCCAATAATTCGATATATGAAGTAATAAAGACATTCTAACAACTACTATCTATAAATAGTACTTAAAGGAGTCAGACCAAATGCTGAGAATGATAGGCATCGGGTGAGCTTATGGGATGGGTAAGGGTAGATGGTGGCCCCTCCCATTACATTGCCTGATGTTATGGTTTGGCTATGGTTTATTTTCCAAAGGTTCAAGTGCTGGGAGCTTAATCTACAGTGTAATGATTATTTTTTCTAAAGGTGGTGGGACCTTTAAGAGGTGGGACCTAGTGAAATGTGATCGGGTGCTGACCATGCTCATGAAGGGATTAATGCTAGTTTTAAAGAGTAGGTTCTTATGGGGGGAAAACAGTTACAGGAAAGTCAGCCCAGGCACCACCCCCTTATTTCACACTGTGTGACCTGTCATTGTTCCCTATGCTACCACTGTGTTTACCAGGAGGGGGATCACCAGACACCAATGCCAGCACCATGCTTTTGGGTCTCCAAAACTGTGGGCCAAAATAAACCTCTTCCCTTTGAAAAATACTCCGCCTCAAGTATTTTGTTATAGTAGCACAGCATGGAACAAAAGACCATCTGTACTACAGTGGGATTGAGAAAGCTAACATTCAATGACTATATTATTTGTTTGTTGAATACTTCCAATTGCCAGGAGCTAAGTAATTTTATATTCATTATCTTCTTTAGTGTTTACCACAACCCAGTTAGATAGGAACAGTAATTCCCTCTACATAATAAGTAAGGAAACTGAGATACCGAATTTGGTGATCTTCTTTAGGTCACACATCTAATAAATGATAGGAGAAGGATTTCAATGCAAACTAGAGAGCAGCCCCAGGCCTCTTTACCTAGTGTTTGCAAGACCCGAGCTTCAGGCCGAGGTTTTTGCCTACTAGGTGTGTTATCGTGAACACAGTACTGGGACTTCTTTGGTCCTCCATGTCCTTATGAAAAATGGTAATAATACCTGTTTGGTGAAACTGTTGAAAGGATCCGTAAGATAATTACTGTGAGAAAATGTTTTTAGGACAGAAAGCCATATCCGGGTGAAAAGCTCAATATTGATTCTCCGCTGCTTCTAGCTGAGGTTAATTACAAGCATTTCTAAGATGTTGTCACTGAACTATTTAAGATCAGTCAACCCTTAAAACAGAGCAGATGGGTATCAGGAGGAAGAGATGTTACTAGTTAAAGGTTGTTAAACTCAACTCCACATCCTCTACAGGGCTACAGGCTCCATGGGAAAATTATATTAGGAATTCGTTCATGGGCTCCTCATGGTTCTTTGGTGACATAAAGCATGAACAATGTATGCTAGAACCATGACCCAAGTCAAGTAGAAGCCATCAGGATAGGAGTTTAGTGGGTATGTTAAGCAGAAATTAAGAAGTCAGAGGTGACATTTAGATGGTTGTAGAACCAAAGAGGAGGGGACTGAATAAGGTACTTAGATGTTATGAAGAATAAAAGATCCTGGACCCCCAGAAGTGAAGACTGCTGATACGTAAAGATAGAACTTCAAAGACAGGTATTATAAATCAAAAAAATTCAAGAATAGATTTTAGCTTATTCCACAGTATGGTGTGGTGTGGTGTAACCATAACAACCTAAGCCATGTGACTACTTCTTAGAAATACTAATGAGTCCTTGAGCCTTTATAGCATTTTGCTAATTTGGAAGCCAAAAACAATAGCTCAGTGTAAAAGTCTGTTGGCTTGTTGCAGCCAGGCTCACCTGGAGATGTATCAGATATTCCGGGATGCGCTGCACTATGTGAAAGAACAGGGTATAGATGTCGGATTTAATCTCCTCATCACCCTGAATGAAAAAAAGAAGGTTGAAGTTACTCTTCAGCACTGCAAATACAACACCAGAGATCCCTCCCACCAGGCAGGAAATGCTTATTTCCAAAGCATTTTCTTTCCAGATTGTCATGAAACATTGCTCTCCCCCTGGAGAGGCCGCATGTTCACGGTCATGCCCAAAGAGACGACTCTTCTCCTTCAGGGAACATAACACATACTTCTTTTAAATCGATCCAAGTTTCCAAACCGCCCCTTCCTTTCCCAACCCTTCTAAGGTCAGTGCTAGATAGCAAAAGGCACTCAGTAAGCTGTACTTGAATTAATGAATGTATGAAGGTTTTCCAGCAAGTCACCTACTAATAGATGCTAAGAGTGCACCAGAGCCTCTCAAGAGTGGAGACAGGAAAGTTCTCAGATATTGGTCAGTAAGCCTACAAGCAGAAAATACAATGGTCTTCCCATCTGTAACTTCCTTTCTCTTCCTTTTTTCAGACATTCGCTGAATGCTAGCATGCTTTGGTTGGGAGGTAAAGTAGAAAGACATGGATTCTCATCTCCTGTGAGATGCAATTACTCTCATCTTTAGGGCTCCGATACACTATTTTCTTGATGACTTTAAAAAAAAAAACCACGATGTACATGTAGATATGCATATCAAAGTCTAATATATCATTGAAGCGGCCGTGCTTAAAGGAGCGTGATGGAGCCACGTGACAAAGGATGGTTGGAATCCAGTACTGAGACTCACATTTTCTGAGCCTGAAAGCAGCGCACATGCGTGCTGAAGAACTCTGGACTACCTGTTTGCTTTGTCTGTCATTCAATGGGTCATTAAAGCATTGCACAGAGCAGATCACTGGCTCTGATCCTTAATCAGACTCCTTTAACCCAGAAGAGGGGCATCCGTCACATGTTCAAGGCACTCCTCAGCCTGGAAACAAGCTCGCAGGGCAAATGCTGTACTGTGGAGTGGATCGGCAACGTGATAGAGATGATGAGTAAACAAAGGACAGCATGTGCCTAGAGTCAACTTACCTCCTTCAGAACCACAACATGAACCAAGGAGATGCATTCGGGTAAATCCCTCAGGTAGGCAACATAATAATCCAAGAAATTATTCTTTAAAACAAACACAAAAATGCATGGTAAGAACCCAAAAACAGGAATGACAACATTTTTATAGCAGCATGAACATAAAAAGGGAGTAGAATTCAGAGAATTTTATTTATTAATTTATTGTTTTTTCGAGACAGGGTTTCTCTGTGTTGTTTTGGCACCTGTCCTGGATCTTGCTCTGTAGACCAGGCTGGCCTCCAACTCACAGAGATCTGCCTGGCTCTGCCTCCCGAGTGCTGGGATTAAAGGCATGCACCACCACCACCCAGCTCAGAGAATATTTTAATAATTTATCAACTATGTTCTTTATTTGCTCTTGGAGGTTCTCTTCATCTTCTTTATAAAGATTTATTTTATGTGTGTTGAGTGTTTGTCTGCATGTGTATATGTACCCCATGTAAGTGCCTGGTGCCCTCAGAGGCCAAAAGGTATCAAATAGCCTGGAACTGGGGTTACAGATGGTTGTGAGGGACCGTGTAGATTATCATAACCAACCCCGATCCTCAGCAAGAGCAGCAAGTACTGCTCTGAACCTCTGAACCATCTCCCCAGCCCCTTGTTAACCTTCTGAAAGAGTCTTTTGTTTCCTTGATGTTTAGATGTGTGTGATGGAACGCATACATGTATAATCTTAGCACTTGAAGAGGCAGGAGAATCAGGAGTTCAGGGTCATCCTCAACTACATAGCGAGTTCAAGGACAGCCAGCGATTCATGAGACTGTGTCTATAAAAAAAATAGTTTTGGTATTAAGATAAACATTACTACAATGTGGGAGCCAAAATTCAACAGTTCTACCTTCGTAACAAGAGAGTAGTGAAGTCTGGGCGGTGGTGGTGCACGCCTTTAATCCCAGCACTCGGGAGGCAGAGCCAGGCAGATCTCTGTGAGTTCGAGACCAGCCTGGACTACCAAGTGAGTTCCAGGACAGACTCCAAAGCTACACAGAGAAACCCTGTCTCGAAAAACTAAAAAAAATAAAATAAAATAAAAAAGAGAGAGTAGTGAAGTAGTTAGCGTTGTGTAGGTTAAAGTACACTTAAATTGTTAAATGAGAAAAATACATATTTTGTATGTACACTTGCTTTTCACAGTATTCATCTATAATCCATATGAGAAACTTCACCCAACCCACTTCTTATTATCTGGATCAGCAGTTCTCAATGTTATCAGCTAATTGCCTATTTTAACTAATGCATATTCACCAACGCAGTTTCCCCTCAAGAAAACAGTTCATAGCTTCCGAAGTTATTTCCCCATATGTATAACTCCTAGCTCCAAAAAGCATGCTGAATGCAAGCAAAGGTGATATTAGAGATGTGGCGTTACCTCTACTGTCTTCTACATAAGTAAATAAGGTGCAAATTTGTATTGTTTTCTGCTGTCAAGAAATGTTGATAAAGACGCAGGCAAACACTGATTCACGGGCTAACTTTAATTGCCTCACACACTATTTAAAAATAAGAACATTTTACATGAAATTCTCAATCCTATTTCTTTTAAAACAACAATCTAATAACTCTAGTCTTTCTTAAATAATAATTGGACAGATCTGAGTAGCTATTCTTTGTGTCAAAACAATCTCCGTCTACTCCATCAAATTCCCATCAATCCACATTGTTTTAACTCAACTCATTGTATTATATACACCAAATGTCTGGTCCTGGGGACATTTGGGTTTTCAACTTCTGGTCTGAATATGTTCTTGGTATAACATTAAGGAGAGTTCAAAATTCAGCACTTTTTTAAGGAATTGAAACAAGAGACATTTAAGACAAACAGCTACCTATCTTATTTAAAAATCTATAAAGTATGAAAAAATATATATACTCTATCTCATGTTTATATGATATACATAAGTATATATGATATATATTATCAAGCATGTATATACTTGTATATATGATATATATGCACATGTATATAAAAATCACATGTATAAATCCATATACACATACATATGCATGGTCAATAGAGGCCACAATAGTATACTACAAAGTCATGAATCAGAAGGTAGGAGATGTAACAGGGTTCCAGTCATAGATAACCAACTACCTTGCAAGCCGGGTGATTTCAGCAAAGCCTTTGAATCTCCAGGAACCTACCCCATTAACTGTAGGATGGGCAGGTTAGACTTGGTATCAGGTTAGACTTCTAACTCTGAAATGTGCTAATTCTTGGTTCTCCATTAGGAGAAGCAGATGAGTGAGACACAAATCCATTTAAGTACAGCGGGGGAGACACCTTACCTCATCGTTTGTCAACTTCAGGAATAAATCTCCAAGGACTCCTTGGCGTGGCCATTTCAGGACCCTCTCCTGCAGGGCATGAAGCAAATCCAAGTGCTGCTGGACAAGGTAGCGCAAGGAGCCAGGGAAGAGGCTTGAGACAGAACAAAGGAAGAATTACACAGAGGACCCCATAAGAATAAACACAGCAGGCGCCATTTTCAATCACCCAAAACACCCTCAAGATCTGTATTTAGATTTTATATTTCTTTTCAGCAAAGCAGCTATCCTCAGACAATAGGTAAGGCCCCTTATGCAAACGTGAATTAACCAAACAATAAAGACTATGTCACAGGAATGACCTGCTAAAAACTACCCTTGGACAGTTTCATGTATGCCACACTCGATAGAAGTCCTAAAGGAATCCTTTTCAGTGTTTTCTATTCCAAAACATTGATACCCAAGCAATCTATTCTTAGCTACTGGCTAGAAGAATGCCACTGGAGTCAGTGGTAAGGTTTGGTTAACATTGGCAGCTAGTTCAGGGACTTGAGGCAGAAGGGAGCTTGCATGTATTTTTCTTTCAGCTCCAAAGAGGCACACTGGGCAAGGATGCTCTGCTGTCTGTATTCTGCAGACTACAGGATAGTCAGCCGCTTCCTCGTGTTTTATAGAGCCTCTTTCCTACTTCAAATCTCTTTCCTCTACCAGCTTGTGCACCTGATTGATTGACATTGATTGATTGATCGATTGATGATTGATTGATTTTGATTTTTCCAGACAGGGTTTCTCTGTGTAACAGCCTGGCTGTCTTGAACCTCACTTTGTAGTCCAGGCTGGCCTCCAACTCACAGACATCTGCCTGTTTCTGCCTCTCAAGTGCTGGGATCAAAGGCATGCACCACCACGCCCAGCTGTGTGTCTCATTTTTAAACCCAGAGGAAATGAAGAAGTGAGAAGTCAAAGGCTGGGGTGGAGAAAAGAGAGACAAAGAGAATCATCTAAGCCTTAGATTCTAAAGGAAAGGGGAGCCAGGACTAGAGAAGGTAATATAAACAGTGTCTCCAGAACAAGTTAAGAAGAAGCAGAAGACTATGGAATTAGCTGCACAACAGCACGGGTCTGAGCTCTTATTTGGTGGCTCAGGGAAATTCCCAGTAGATTTCCTTATGCTTCCAACACAAGACATTAACAAAGATATGATGGCTTCCTTGTCTCTAAGAGCTGAACTTAATCAAACATTTCCCAACGGTATGATGGATGCACGTGTGTGGCCCATAGAGGTGATTTGGCCACAAGCAGACCTCTGTCATTAGACAGGATGTCGGATTCCGAGGAGATTCCCCCTACCCTTTTCTAAGCAAAGCAAAGACTTCCACGGAGCTGTGGCTCAGAGAAGAGACAAACACCAGAATAGGGTTCTGAGTTCTCGTCTGAGAAATACAAAGAAACCCGCCACTGCTGAGATCCACTTTAGTCTCCTGGTCCATGAGTGCTGGCAGACACAAAGCCAGCTGCCCCTAAGACCAATGGAGAGGCCTCCTGATCTGTGCTCTTGCTCACAGCAAAGTGCTCTTGGAAGATCCAAATAACCAGTTCAGACCAGAGAGGGATTCTGAGCAGAGGCTAGGGAGCAGGCAGGCTGGGGGAAGACCTGAGCCTGGCTGAATCCCAAGTGATTCCACAGAGCAAAGCTGCATCCGCAGAAGCTCCAGATGCAAAAGACTTCTCCCCGGCTTTTCCAGGCCTGACTCCCAGATGCAATATTCCAGGGTTCTAACTATTTTTTTTATTATGCAATATGAATAGTTTCTGTAGCCTTCAAAGTTCTCTGTCTCCTCCCCAATATAGTAATTAAATAGTGATGAAAACAAAATTAAAGGTATTGAGGAAAATCCAGTTATGGTTTCAGTTAAGTTGTCCTTGCTAATTCAGCATTGGGCCAAAATAATGCCTGGCTTTAAGAGCAGCGGTTTCCAACCACACCGAATGGGTAATTAAACATGTGCAATCTTCAGTACAGAGCTCGTCACCTCTTGGGAGATGTGGCTCTGAGTTCAGCTCATTGGAGGAAACAGCAGTCCTTCCCACAGGTGTCCTCAGGACTGCTCAATCTTAAAATGAGGCACACCGGAATACATCCAGAACCCTAAGTTCTGTAATGTTCTCACACATGACCCCCAGGTTCTACCTAGGCTTCCTCGGGCAGTAGGTGCCCTACAGCTCCCAGCGTTCAGAATACACAGGGCTGGCTTGAAACGACTGAGGACTCTATTAAGCAATTCCCTGTTTTCTAGGGAAATCCTAAGGGTGTATTTTATAGGTCTGAGAAGATGTGGCAATGTCCAGTTTGAGGGTCCAGTTCTCACCGCTGTCTTCATCCCGGGTTGTTTCCAGTGGGGTGGCAAACGCTGACGCCTTGTGGTTTGTGATGAGGGAAGTCAGCAAATAAATTCTCAGGGAAGAAATTGCCAATAGATCTATTTAAAAGTGCATCAGGGTCTCAGAAGAGCTTACAAAAAAGAACTATAGCGGGAGAAAGAAGATGATGAAACTCGACGTAGGATAGAAAAAGCCGACACTGCCAGAGCCAGGACAAGACTGCACTTTGAGTAACAACACTCCTAGTTGACGCTTTGTGCTGCTTGACCAATGAAGAGCAAAACGATGGTTACCTTGACAACCAATATGAACAGAATTGTCATGGATGCGGTGGAATAAGGATTACCTTACCTGTATTGGAGATTATATAATTGTCTTTTTTTTTTTAATCTCATAAGATTAGAGACCCACTCAGTCCTCAGTAATAGGTCGTGAGAGAACACCAGAAAGTCAGGAAGTGACTAGACTAAGTAAAAAAGACTTGACTATTCAGGAAACTAGGAACATACTTAGCATCCTGGTTTGACATATCAACTGAGACCTGAAGTAAGACTTGCTGGACTCTTCAAGAGAACAGCCTGAGTTCTGAAACAGGAAGTGATACATTCATGCATCCGGTTCTTCAAAAACCCTCACACATTGATTGCTGTTGGTAAGGATGGTGTCCTAGAGGCCATGAGATCCTTAGAAAAACAGATGGGGCTGGAAAGAGCTCAGGGGACGGGTCAAAATGGCCTGCATTTCACTTCTGGCACTAACGGGCCATGTGGCTGTGAGCATCTCCAGACCTTAGAGCCTTTCTCGACAATGTAGAAATCACAGGGCTCTGGCCATTCTCTTTCCAGTGTGGAGACTGTGCCCAGGGCCTCCTGGATGGTAAGTGTTCTGCCCCGGAGCTACATGCGCCAGTGAGGGCAAAGAGTCATGGAGTTCCAGATCACATGTAGAGCATAGGACCAAGGACACTGTTCCAGGGTATGGGTTTCTTTGCTACTTTTATCCAAGAGTCCCAAATTTATGGAAACTAGAAAGAGACACTGCTGCTTAGGATCTTAGGTACCGAAGCAAAACCACACCAAAAGGTAGATTCCCTTTCCTTTTGAGTCACGGAAACTGGGCGTGTGCCTGGCAGAACAAAAGATGCTAGAGTCCAGAACCTTCCCAGAGCCCCCGGGGAGCAGGTGGGAGAATAAGCCAGGCTGTGCTGGGGTCTCTGGGCTGGAAATCAAGTGGTCAGATGGGGTAGGAAGAGAAAGATCAGGCCACTGTGGGAAGGTGAGGCAAGAGTCTAGAGCCATCATTATAAGTCAAGGGTTTGCCATGCCGTGTCTACATTTTGTTTACCTCCATTTTGTGGTGAAATAATCCTCGGAATCAGTCAAGACCCTTGTGAGTTGGGGAACAGTTCCTCACCTCAGTCGTTTAGTTGGGGGTGGGCATTTGGGTGTTTGGGCTTGGGTCGGAAGGGATGTGGCATGGCGGTGAAGTCAAGTAAATGGGAAGAACAGTAAGGAGCAGGACAATGGGAAGGTCCTTAGGTAGATTCATAACCGATGAACTGTTTACCACCTTATGGAAAGAATGCTTAAGGTAACAATGCCCCATGATCCAGACTTCCCGTTCACAGGATCGTTCTTTTCTTCGCTTCACCCTGTATTAGCTCATCTTTATTACATTAGTCCTTTCCTCCAAGCCTTGCTTTTTCCTCTTTCCTGCTCTCTCCCAACAGAGAGAGTAAAGAGTAGAAGCAGGTACACAGTGTAACATTAGGGCCAGTGTGCTGAAAGCACTGCTCCCCACCCCCGCCCCTCACCACACACCCCTAGATGCAGCACAGTACCCGGTGCTATGGCATCACCTGAATGAGAGTTCTTTCCATCAGCCCGTACCATTGTCTAGTACACAGAACTCTGCCACGTCCATTTCCTGGGTCTTCGATGAGGTCTGTCACCCCTGAGGACACATTCACCTCTCTTTATTTCGGAACAGACATGCCACAGACTGAAGGCCCCACGGACTGTACTCACTTTCTACCTACTGAGAACCTTAAGTTTGAGACTTGCGGTCACTGCCTATTCTCTTTCCAAAGGCTGTTTCCGGGACTCTCTAGGGCCCAGGATGCCCAAGGTCGAATCGGTGAAAGACTTACCTTAAATCCCAGTCAATCTGAAAAGCAAAGGCAATGAGCACACGGGTACCTTCTCTCCTTGGAATTCCTCTTTCCGTCGGAGCCCTGGAACGTCGCCTTGATCTTCAGGATCAGAGAGATGTTGATGACGTATTTCCGCTCAGACTCAAGCAGCTCGAGAGCCACGGTCTGCCTTTTTGCTTTAAAACAAAAATCCAAGGGGATTTTTTTGTTGTTGTTGTTAGTCAACTCCCTCCCAAACACTAAGCCAGGCAAGAAATAGATAAAAACACATGGAAAAGCTCCGTTGGCAGTGTTCCTTAGCCCTGGGCTTCGGTCTCAGCACCACATAAACCAGGCTTGGTGGTGAACACTTGCAATCCAGGAGTGGAAGGCAGGAGGATCAGAAATCCAAGGTCATTGTCAGATAGGTAGCCAGCCTGGGCCCCTTGAGACAAAATAGAAAAAAGGAAGGGAAGGGACGGAGGTGGACGGAAGGAGAGAGAGAAAGGCATCAGCATATTTGGGCAAGATGAAAAGCAGAATGGAGACATGAGATTTATCCAGCAAAGCAAAGGACACAGAATCATGTGTCTGCAGACACAGAACCCGCTAAGAAGCAGTAGAGGCCGAGGGACCGGAGACATGAGTGGCCGGAAGCAAGTGAGGTAAATCTACATAAACTGCAGGAGCCTCCAGATTGAACTTGCAGAATCCCGAGAGAAATGGGAGAAGCAGCATCATAGGGAAGGCCTAGCCTGAGCTAAAGATGAAGACAGAGTGAGAGGCTAAAGAGAAAGAGACACCCCTTGACCACATTCAGGTCCCAGAGTGCCAGCAGCCAGGCTTAAACACTCTTGGCAGGAGACTGGGCAGCCTGCCACTTGATACATTGAATTTCCCAAGTAGGACAGGAGACCCTAAGACATGGACATAAAGAGATCACTTACCAATATGTAAATTTGCCACCTAATAAGCATATTTATAATGAAGCTCACTATTGACAAACTTGGATAATAGAAAATTCCAGGTTATTTGGGGGGTGGGGTGTTCTTTCTTTCTTTCTTTTGGGGGATACTCTTTCTTGAACACATCAATAATTAAGGATACTGAGACATTTGAATAAGGATATATATACCACAGGAGAGAGAAGACAAATACACATGTATGTGAAAATTAAATCTTACAATTAATATTCTCAAAAAGATATGCAAAATACTCTAGCCATTTAACAATTACTGGATGCTATTTTAAGAAAAGAAACATCTTGACATTTTTTTAAAACATAGATAAACTTAAGGGTGGATGGAGTCAAAGGCATGTCCCCTCACACTCTCCCAAAGGAAGCCAACCACAGAAGAGAAAAGGCAGATTGAAGAAAAATCTGGCCCATGAAAAAATGAAGTCAGGGAATCTAACATTAAATTAGAAGCTTCAAAGAAAAGGAAAACCATGGCTGAGATGATATTACAAAATTAATGGGGGGAGGGGACATGTGTTATCAGGACACGTGTTATCAGGACATGTGTTATCAGGACATGTGTTATCAGGACATGTGTTATCAGGACACGTGTTAGCAGAGGAGAGCCCTGTTATCCTCTGCATAAATAATGAATTAATGGGGAGGGGGCCATTCCAGGACATGTGTTACCAGAGGAGGGGCCCATTATCCTCTGCATAAATAACGAAAGAGATCCCACATCATCACAAGGACCACCACAGCATGTGAAGCTGTAGCCCTCTGGGTGTAAAGAGAAGACCCCAAAAGTTAATGGAAGGGCCAGCAAGATAGTTCAGAGAGTAAAGGCACTTGCTGCCAAGCCTGACGACCTGAGTTCCATCCCCAGGGCCTACAATGTAGAAAGACAGAACTGCCTCTCAAAAGCCATCTTTTGGACCCCAACCCATGCCCCATGGTATTTGTGTACCTGCTCAAAGAAAGAGGTGTGTGCACATGTGTGTGTATATGTATACATATATGAACATGTATATATAATGTAGTATATATACATATATAATATATTATATTATATATAATTATAATATAGCATATTATATTATTATATTATATATGTATAATATATAATATAATATAATTAGAATATATTATATGTTTATATATCTTATATGATATATAATATATAATAATATTCATATATATATATATATATATATATATATATATATATATAATAGATTCAATTCCTGGTTTTAAAAAGTGTTACCAGACAGAAACACTGGGTAACATTCAAAGACTGAGGACCAGGGCAATGCGGGCTCTCTGATGGCAACATTAGGAGCTGAAAGACTGGAAGAATCGCTTCACCCTGATGAGAGAAAATGGTTTCCCACTAAGCCAGGGTGACAGCAGTGTGATGGGCCACAGGTGGGGTGAGGTGCCTGAGGTCTCTCGGCAAAATGCCTTCAAGATAAAAAGATAGAAACGAGAGAGGTTCTGTTACATTAAGAAAAACAAAAACCGCGGGACTGGTTCTGAACCGCCATGTGGATGCTGGAATCAAACTTGGATCCTCTGGAAGAGCAGCCAGTGCTCTTAACCACTGAGCCATCTCTCCAGCTCTGGATTATGGATTTTTTTTTTAAATGTGATAATGGCATGCAGTGTGGTTAATAAAAAAGAACGAAATAGATCGAGGCCAGTCTGGGGTACAGAGTAAGCTTCAGGAAAGGCACAAAGCTACACAGAGAAACCTTGTCTCGAAAAACAACAATAAAAAAGAATGAACTACTAAATTAATTACATGCAACAATGTAGATGAATCTCAAAAACACGTACTAAGAGAAAGATGCCAGGCAAAAAAGAATACAAAGTACTATTCCATTTATATGAACAGATGGAACTACATAGTAGTTACCGTTTACACAGTTTACACAGATGTTAACTAACATGAAGCATGGGAGAAATTCCTAGCATAACAGAAATATGTATGGTGATCTTGATAGTGATCACAGTCAATATTCCTATGTCCAAAGTCAAGCTGAGAGGGTGAGTCAGTTCTCCTTAAAGGTATGGCCCCCCAGTGGGTCAACAATGCTCCAGTGACAGGCCCCCACAGCCTGGAGCTTACGGGAAGCACAAACTGAATATTTTATAAAAACAAAACAAAATGAGGACACGAAAGTGTCAGGGAATGGAGCTGTGAAGGGGGGGTCTTGGAGGAGTTAAAGGGTGGGACGGGGGTAAATATGATCAAAATAAACTCTCAAAGAATTAATAAGATATTTCTTTAAATTCTTAAGCGGAGGCCCACAAGATTGCTCAGTGGTTAGAGCACTTACCACACAATCTCCACACTCACACCATAGCATGCATCACTGTAAGCATGCACAACTGCACACACACACACACACACACACACACACAAACACACTATACATATACACATTAAAAATTTTTTAAGTTTAAATGTAGCTCCATGAATTTTACTCTATGTAAATTATCTTTCAACAAAGTATTGTTTACAAAACAGCATAAAATATGAAGCAAGTTGCGGTGGTTTGAATGAGAATGGCCCCCATAGGCTCATGTGTTGGAATACTTGGCCCCCAGGTGGTGGAACTGTTTGGGAAGGATTGAGGGTGTGGCCTTGTTGGAGGAGGTGTGTTACTGGGAGCAGGCTTTGAGGTTTCAAAGGATTCCCATGATTCCCAGTGCTCCCTCTCTCTGTGACTCGTGGTTGTGGGTCAGAATGTGAGCTCTCAGCCTTGACGTTGCTCCACCATCGTGACCTGTAACCCCCTGAACCTGGAAGCCAAATTAAATGATTTCTTCTATAAGTTGCCTTGGTTGCGGTGTTCTACACAGTGATTTAAGAAATTAAGGACACAAGTACCAAGAAAAACTTTCAGAAAGAATTCAAAGTGGCGGCTCGTGTTTCTTGTTAATAATAATTTAAAAGCTCTTAGTTCCATTTAATTTTCATGTATGTGATTGGAAATAATATTAAGAAAAATGACCTCGCCCCAGATGTGGAGAATGCTATTGTTGGTGCTCACTTACTATATGAAGAAAAGGAAGCATAGAGAAAAAAAGAAGGAAGGAAGACGAGCTTATCTCAGTGTGTGATATCTTGGTGGCAGATTATTAATAAATGATTGGCATATGACAAACTCTATATCTCTGACTAAATAGATATTCTAAGAACCTTAGCTTTTTTTTTTTTTTTTTCTATTTTGCCGAAGCACCACAATACAGAACGTCACAGATACCCAGAATCAAGGTGGTGGTCCCGCCAGGGTATGTGACCTCTGCTGAGTCCCTTCACTGCTGTAGCCATTAGGGGCTTCACCCCGAAAAGACACAAGGTGGTGTCCTGTGTTGACTCAATCCACACTGCCCGATGGGGGTCTACCTTCTGTTCCAAACCCCCGTATGCCTCATCCTTCCGTATTTCCACCCACATCCCCCCTCAGAACTTACCAGCTAAAGAGGTTTCACATAAGACGTTTTCCAAGGAGCTGTGCCTGCCCTGGCCAGCCTCCTTGAGTTTATCTGGGTGGTCTTTTGTGACATACTCCTCGCCCCACTCTTTGCCATCCTTGGGCTGTCTCCACAGGCCCGGTGTGTGATGGCCCTTGGACTGGATCTCAGCTGAGAGAGAGGGTTTAAGACTTTCGTCTGCTTCTGGATTTGCTGGGTTCACTCCTGAAAAACAATGCCTGCTAGAAAAGAACTTTCTTTTTTTTGAAAAAGAAAATAGTGCTTGTTACTAACTCTTAACTAATATACTGCTAGATGGATGGGTATCTCGTTCCTAAGAGAGTAAATATATCAATGAAGGGTTAAAAATTTCCCAAACTGCAAGCAGTCACCTCTCTCTTTTTCTGGCCCATATGTCTTCTGTTTTGTTTTTGTGTTTGTTTTATATATAGACACCACAAAATAAGGAAGTTTTTTAAATCCCACATGGTAGCACATGCCTGTAATAATTTGGGAGATAGAGGCAGGAGGATCAGGAACTCAGTGGTATCCTTAGCTTTGTAGAAAGTTCAGGGCCAGTCAGGCTCCATACATGTGACTCAATAGACCAGACAGCTAGACTGGAAACTGTATAATACAGTGTGAGTTAAAGCAGCATGTTTGACTCCCTGCAGCTACTTGCTTTCAGGTAAACACAGGAGGTGTCTGCAGCACTGTTAGGTGGAAGTACAGACAGAAGAGGGGGACAGGTACCAAAGACATCTGGGGGGCAGAGGATGTCCTGTTTGCTATTTAGTCCCTTTGTCCTACGGATGCTAAGCTGGAATAAATGGAAAAAGGAACGAATGGAGGGAAGATTAAATAATGCGTAAGTTCTGGTGAATTATCAACGAAGCAAATGTTGGATTAAAGTACAAAGTATGCGATACAAGAAAAATTGGTGTCGTGGGGTACTCCCCCGTGACGCTTGAGCAAACGTTAGCTCATTAGTAAGTGGAACAGGAAAGAATTAGGAATACTGATTTGTTCTTGAATTTTACCAGCTCTCCTCTGCCTATGGTTTAAAAGAGTCACTACTCCACCACATGTATTGGAAGGTAAATGAAGACAATGCTATACTATGATTTGGATGTGACGTGTCCACACAGAAGGTCATGGGTTAAAGGTGTGGTCCTTGATGCAAGCAGTGGCCAGAGTCGGGACTTCAGGGAAGTGACTGGGTGAGGAGGGTTCTACCTCCCTAGTAGACTGACCCAACAATGGATTCCATTTCTAGAGTATTCGAGGTGATAAAACCATGAAAGGCAGGGCGGATCTGGGAGAAACTGATCACTGGGGACATGCCCTTGTAATGTGTACCTTGTCCCCGGTTCCTTTCTATTATTCCCTCTGCTTCCTGGGTGCCATGAAGTGAGCAATGTCTTAAGCTACAGGCTTCCCATCATGCTGTTTTTTTTTTTTTTTTTCTGTTCATCTAATGTCCGTAGCAACACAGTGAGCTGACCTTGGATTGAAACCTTGGAAACCGGGAGCTAAAATAAACCTTATCTCCCTTAAGTGGTTTTTCTCAGGCATTTGTCAGAGTCCTTTCCTCCTTGGCTCAGGACAGTCCAGTAGAGCAGGAAAGGTGCCTGGACAGGAAAGTTGCCTGGACCGGTTAATTGACTCGGCAGGTAAAAGGCTCGCCTTGCAAGCCCAACAACCTGAGTTCAGTTCCTAGAAACCATAAATGAGAGAATGACTCCACACAGTTGTCCTCTGACCTCCATACCTGTGCAGTAGAATGTGTACACACACACACACGGAATTATACAGGAATACGTGTTATATAAGAATACAATAATAAAAACTTAAGCCATGAAGAACCACTTACCAGGACCCATCATTCCCTTCACATTGCCATCTCCTACATGAACAGATCTGGACTCCTGGGCTGCAGAGAAAGGAAAGTTTTACTCAGCATCCATTCTACCAACATGAATTAGGCACCTACGGCTCAGGAAAAAGACAGCCTCACAGATTTTATAGTTCCATGAGAGATGAGAGAGACAGAGCAGGGGTGATGGAGTACAGTGAGGCAACACTAGTTACCCAACTGCTAAAGATGCCCACAAGTGATACCAACTTCAAGCCGCTACCATGAGCATCCAATAGGTTAATCCACAAAGTTTTCTGAGTGGTACCCAGCACACTGTAAGAGCCAATTTGCTGCCTAACCATGACAGGGACGGCAGTGGTGACGACAACGAGGACAGTGAAAACAGCAGAATGATGCTCGATGGCTCTGTCCTCTGCTTACCTTTCCAGCGGCTTCCATTTCGCTCTAAAGGCCCCAATCATTCAATGAGCACATAGTCCTAGAGCATTTCTCTGTCCCTGCACTTGCCCCTTCCTTCTGAATTGCCTCTCCTAACACCACCCCATCCACTCCGCTTGAGACCATTGGTCTTCTCCTTACTCTTCTGAGTATGTTAGCCATGTTCCCACCGGGATGACAACAGGGTCGTAGAGGCTGCCTCTGCTAAGAGCGCTGACTCTTCACTCGGGTCCACAGGTGTCCGATGGGTGAATGGAAACATAATGGAAGCCTGGGGTCCCTGCCTTCACGTTACACCTGTCTGCTTTCCTGCCTTACTCCGGTCAGATTCCTGTTCAACTCTGCACGTAGACACGTTGATCATTTACGGAATGCCTGTTTAAAACTCACAATACTGCCAGGCGGTGGTGGCGCACGCCTTTAATCCCAGCACTCGGGAGGCAGAGCCAGGTGGACTCACACTACATGGCTCGTTTTTTAGTCCAAAATTAGCTACCTAGCTCTGCTTGTCCCCCTTCAAGACAGGGGACACCAAGCTAAGAGTCAGGCATTTTCTAGACTTATAGGGACATCAACATCAACAGACAATCAAACACCAGCTTTTACAACATCCTATTCTAGACCATTGGAGTCGCCCCTAAAAGTCCCCCATCATTGCCATAAACCTGAAGGGGGTATCTAGTGAGTACCCCAACTAACTATTTTTCTCCTCTAGGCTTTACTTTCTCAAAGTCAACTTTGCCTTCCTAGCTTATGGAAAGTACCAGAAACAAGAAGCCACGCAGACCATCATCTTTTTAGCAAGACCCTCAGAACCAGAATACAATTTGACCCAAGACTGCTTGGCTACCCATGGTGCTCCCCACCCTTCCACTTGTGTTCTCCCTTTATCTTGTCCTAGAGCTAGTATTGGTTCTAAGAAAGCAAAGCTTTGGATGATGACCCATCTTCGGGGCCACACTGAAATAAGACCCTTTCCTATTTCATCACTGTTTGTATCTCCGATTGGACCACTGAGGGAAGTAACCTGATGTGGACGAACCAGTAAAGAAGAGACAGGGCGAGACAAGTAGAGGGATGAGTTTATGTAAAGGTCCAGAATACACTGGAACAACAAGGCCTAAAGACTATCGGGGCAGCTTGACTATAGAGGTAGAAATGGAGACCACCAAAGAGAAGGGTAAAAGCAGAGTTTTATGGATCTAGTTAATGCATGGCCTTGGAAACGTGTAGAGAAGCTTAGACTCTGTAATAGCAGTAAGAAGCCAAAATGGGAACTTTATGGGTAGGCAGAAAGTAGAAGAAAACAAAGAAGTACAGTGTCGGCCAACAGAAGAAAACATTTTGAGACAGCCGGCATCAAAGGTATCAGAAGCCTAGGAGAAAGGGAAGGAGGACCAGAGGGACGGCTCAGTGGGTAAAGACACTTGTTGCCAAGCCTGACGACCCGAGTTCTAGTCCCAGGAAAGAGGGAATTGATTCTCACAAAGCTGCCATCTGACTCCCGCATGCTCACCAAAATAAATAAATAAATAAATAGGTTCTTAGTTTTAAAAAAAAATCTATGGAGCAAGACCAGGTAAGGAGACAGCTTTAGTGGCTGTAAGGGTAGGTGCCAATATTGGGAATGTTGAATGAATGGGACATAAGAAAGAAGAAATGGATGGCGGAGCCACATCATTCAAAAAAGTTAACTTCTAGGCCTGGGAATGTAGCCGAGAGGTAGGGACAGTGCCTAAAATGCACAGGGCCCTGGTTTGATCCCGCATAGAAAAGGGGTTCGCTTTCAGATGTCTGAAGAAGCAGGGGCTGGAGAGGATAACTGGGTTTTTAAAAATCTTCTTGACCCACAAACAGACAGTAGTATCAGGACATAATATCATGAATGTAATAAATCAATACAATTAGTGTAATTAATGAAAAAAATCTTCTTGAAAGCTTCTTAGGCTAGAAGAGTCCACAACGCTCCTGTAAGATGATATTTCCAGGGGCTGGAGAGATGGCTCGGGAGTTAAGAGCCCTGTTGCTTTGCGGGGGCAAGGGTTCAGTTCCCAGCACCCACACAGTGGTGCACAATCCCCCAAAACTCCATTTCCAGGGTATCCATCTCCTGCTTCGGACCGCCATGTGCACACACGTGGTACACACACCTATAAACATTCATACACGTGTCAGCAAACATTCATACACATAAAATAAAATAGATAAGCCTGAAAAAGTGTTATCTCATTTTTACATGACATTTCAAACTTTTTTTTTTATTTTTATTTTTTTTAATTTTCAAGACAGGGTTTCTCTGTAGCTTTGGAGCCTGTCCTGGAACTCACTCTGTAGACCAGGCTGGCCTCGAACTCACACAGATCTGCCTGCCTCTGCCTCCTGAGTGCTGGGATTAAAGGTGTGCACCACCACCACCCAGCGACATTTCAAGCTTTTTAATTCTAAGGTATATGAATGAAGCTCCGCATCAGAGGACACACATAAGGAGGGTATCTTTTAAAATGAAGGGCAGGGCTGGAGAGATGGCTCTGGGGTTAAGTGCACATACAACTCTCGCAGAAGACCTGTGTTCATTTCTCAGCACCCACACTGGGTGCTTTATAACTGCCTGTAACTCCAGATCCAGGGGGATCTGGTGTCTCTGCTGCACTTACATACACATCCCCACACACAGACACATAGACATAATTAAAAATAAATATCTTTTTAAAAAGAAAGAGAAGAAGAAGGGTTAGCCGTTTGTGGTAAACAGCGTCTTAAGATGGCTCCCCGGTTTTCCTTACTCTTTGGCATTCCCATTCTGTGATTCCTTCCTGTGAGTGATGCTGGATTAAGTGATTTTCTTCTGGTGAATAGAATAGGGCAGAAAGGCTGAGCTGCTTCTTCCAAGAGTAGATTATAAAAAGCTACAGCTTTTGTCTTGAGCTTTCTGTTAGACCAATACCGGAGGGGGGGGGAGGGGAGGGGGGAGGTGCCATGTTGGAGAGGCCCATATTACAGGGACTACCACACCATGTGCGTATGTCTGGAAGATGTCCTCTGAGTACAGCCCTCATAGGACAATGGCTGCGGCCAGCACCTCGATGGCAACCTACCTCATGACAGACCTCACGTGAGTGGTACCCAGGTCACCTGTGCACCCAGGTCCACTGAGCTTGAAGCTACTGAGTTTGGGAGTAACAAGCAACAATCATACCATCGTGTCATTAAAAGTGGAGAAGCCAACATTTTCTGGGGGTTTAATCCTTTCATCCTGAGTTTTAAGTATGGATTTGCTTTGCTAATCTATTTTTTAAGATTCTATCTTGGGAATGCACACAGCTGCCCCAGACCTGGTCCGGATCTGACCCCTCCTCCGAGCCCATCTTGTGCTCTTCACTTGCATGGTCAACTTGATGTGTCTTGCTCTGCACGTTATAGAGCCAAGAAAACAGGACCACCTGTGGAATCCCCTCCCAGACGGATGGAGCAACTGTCCTCCAGGCTGCACTCACTGGCTGCTAAAAGAAGTACTGACATGTGCAAGTAAAAGGCCAATAACTGAGCAACTCTGTACTCAGAAGCTCACAGAGTAAAAGCTACTTACTTGCCTTAGGAGTTTAGGTTCAGTTATTCCTAAGACACTTACTGTCTATGAATCGGTAAAGCAAGTTCTTCCTGGGCTGTGAGGATAGACAGTCATCAACCCTACTATTGAGGTGTTTACACTTGATTGAAAAGTTATTGAACCTACCCTTTAAGGACTTTCTATATAAGACTAAAGCAAGAAGAGGGGATGTCATTCTGTGGTCTGACTACATTCTACATTCATGTTTCTGTATGTAGGTGCTTTGTTGGACACTCTTGAGAATATAATGATGTAGCAAATTTTGTCTTGTTTTCTTTTTTTCCTGATTTGAACACAGGTCCAGAATCACAACCCTTGAAAAGCCAACTCCTTTGGGGCTGCCAGCATGCCATCTTGTGACGACATATTTCTCATGTCTTTACAGTCAGGAAGTGGTTGGTGAGTGCTTTGGCCTACACACAGAACCAGCCTGGTTTTTCCAGGGAAACACGGGTACTGAGATACATCACCAATAAATAACTTTTTAGAGCGACTTTTTTTTTAAATCTAGTTCTCTCATGGTTGGTATAGTATTGATTGCACTAAATTATTTTTAATCTAAGTGACACTTAGAAGAAGCCAAATTAGTATTTTCCACAAAACAAAATTTAAAAATTCGCAGTCTCTCAGGAAGCAGAGGTCATCTGGTGCCTTCCAAAGTCTAGATACCAGGAAAGTTCTGGGCAATATGGCCGTATTTTGTTTTCTCTCTGATGAGGATGGAGGATATGAGTCCATCCTCCCCCCCTCGCCTCACTCAAGCCCTAGGAATCAAGGAGAAAGAAGTGTGGTTAACTCATGCCATTTCCTGTAGTTTATGAGCGGTACCTTTTTCATAGGTTTGAGAAGGCATAATGTTGGTGAAGTCGTCACTGGGGTGACCAGACTCGGGGACATTGATGGAGCGGAAGGGGCTTCCTTGGGCTTGCGCAGGCGCAGATGCAGGTCCGGCCTGTGCGCCATGCTCTTCCTTTTGAGCTTTCCTAGCAGAAGACACAAGAGAAGGATGCTTTGGTTCTCAGGGCATGGTAGATTGGGGGAGGCTCAGTTCAGAATAATGCTGGAGAATTGTTTTTTAATGTGTTGCCAAGGCACACACATAGGTTGAACCATATCAATATTTTTTATAAATTATAAATGGTTGAAGCCAAACAGTTCACGTGGTTCAACTTAATTCACCAACTTCAACCATCTATAAATCACTTCTAACTGTAATGCTTTCATTCTTATTTTTCTTTTACCGGTTTCCCTATCACCAGGATCTTTGATTTCGGTGGTTGTTTTTTTTTTTTTTTTTTTTTTGGTTTTGTTTGTTTTGTTTTGTTTTGTTTTGTTTTGTTTTGTTTTTGTTTTTTTGTTTTTTGTTTTTTTTTTGTTTTTTCCAGAGCTGAGGACCGAACCCAGGGCTTTGCGCTTGCTAGGCAAGTGCTCTACCACTGAGCTAAATCCCCAACCTCCTTTTGATTTCGTTTTGATGTTTGTTTTTGACACCAGGTCTCACTATGCAGCCGTGGCTAGTCTGGGGCTTGCTATGTGAACCCATGCTATACAGATCCTCCTGTCTCTGCTGACTGCTAGGATTAAAGGCATGGTCACCATGCCTAGCTCCTAGTGGGGTCTTTGAAGTGTTGGGTACTTGCTTAAGATGATGGACTCGCTTAACAATTCAACCCCAAGTACCAGAAAACAGAAGCATTTTTTCCCATCTGTGTGCAAGGGCACACAGGCATGTGTGTGTGTGTGTATGTGTGTGTGTGTGTCTGCATGCATGCATTTGGGCACATATATGTAGGTGTATGTTCATGCATGTGGAGGCCTGGCTTGAAGTTGTGAATTGTCCTCCAACACCCTCTACCTTGTTGCATTGAGGCAGGGTCTTTCAATCAAACCCAAAGCTCACTGATATGACTAGTCTCACTAACTAGCTTACACCTCCACCTAACGTTCAAGTGGGTTCTGGAGATCCAAGCTCTGGTGCTCAAAAGGTCTTATGGATGCATGAGAAATGTGTGTACTCTGTGTGTGTGTGTGTGTGTTGTGTGTACATGCCTGTTTGCCTGCAGAGGCCAGAAAAAGGTGTCAGATCCCCCAGAGTTGAAGTTACAAGCAGTTGTGAGTCACCACGTGGATTCTGGGAACAGAAACTCAGTCTTCTACAAGAGCAGCCGGTACTCTTGACCACTGGGCCATCTCTCCAGCCCCAGTATTAACCAGCTTATATGGCTTCATCTCTTCCGGCACAGGCTGATAATCTATGCTGCTCTGGAGCCCACTCCTAACAGCTGTGCTAATAGGCGGAAGTTTTCTCAAGGCCTTTGTGCAAGAGCCGTTGCTTATGGGCTTGCCTGGGGTAAATACTTTCAAGCTACTCACTTGGCTTTAACCTTTCGAGATTCTCTTCGCTTCTCCTGTTGAAGCTGCTCGATTTTCTGCTGCATTTCTTCTTGTTTGGAAGTGATGGCCTGAATCATCGACATCGCATTGCTCAACTCTTCCTGCAATGTAAGAATTGCTACATTTTAGACTGGTACATTGGTGTAGTGGTTTGAACATAATTGGTCCCCAAAAGTTCATAGGGAGTGGTACTATGAGGAGGTGTGGCTTTGTTGGAGTAGGTGTGGTCTTGTTGGAGGAAGTGTGTCACTGTGGAGGCAGGCTTGGAGGTCTCATATATGCTTCCAAGACCACTTCCTGTTGCTGCAGGATCAAGATGTAGCTCCTTCTCCACTCTCAGTTCCTTCTCCAGGACCATGTCTGCCTGCACGCTGCCATGTCCTAACATGATGATAATGGACTAAACACTAACCCTCTGAACTTTAAGCTAGCCCAGTTAAGTGCTTTCCATTATAAGAGTTGCTATGGCCGGGCGGTGGTGGTGCACACCTTTAATCCCAGCACTCGGGAGGCAGAGCCAGGTGAATCTCTGTGAGTTCGAGGCCAGCCTGGGCTACCAAGTGAGTTCCAGGAGAGGCACAAAGCTACACAGAGAAACCCTGTCTCGAAAAACCAAAAGAAAAAAAAAAAAAAAGAGTTTGCTATGGTTATGGTGTCTCTTCATAGCAATAGAAATCTTAACTAAGACAATGGGCTAAGAGAACATACATCAGTATCCCATCAGCCTTTACCTAGTGCATACTTTTGAGTGAATGGGGAGTAAGAGATGAAGTTTGCTTTCGTTGTGGCCTCTAATTTTAACACAGAGCTCAGAAACTGAAACCCATGAGATAGATGCTGTTCCATGACGGCTAACAGATGGCTCAGAGGGAAAGCTCTTACCCTGGGCTGCTATAAGAAAAGGCAAACAACTCCCTGCTCCAGTACGGGGACCCACATACTCTTTCCACAGGATATCAAGGAGGCTCCCACCTTAAAGTAGTTTAAGGAATTCTTCATCTCGGTGACTTTCTCTTCCATGGAACATCGGCAGCTCTTAACCTTCTCTTCCAAAGCATATTCTCCATGCTGGATCCTCGTCAGCTCCTGCATTGCTTCTGTGAAGCCGGTTTTCAGTTCCGAGGCCAGGGCCTGCAACTGAATAATTCAGGAAGAGCGAACCTGACTCACTGTAAGTTATTATAAATGGTACCATTGACCCCCTTGACCTTTTCCTTTTCTTGAGAAAACAAAGCTCTTGAAAAACCTCAGATGTCTGGTCTACTCAGCTCTGGAATCTTCTAGGTGACTCTGCCCCTGTTTGACTAGGGAAAAGGTCATCTATGCAGTGTGCATTGAAGCTTGACAAGAAACAGCAAAATGAGCCTCTGGTTCACAGGTACTCACAAACACTGCCATTATTTAAAAGACCTTGATATAAGAATGAGGCTTACTTAAACCAGGTGGTGGTGGCACACAACATGAATCCCAGGGAGGCAGATCTCCGAGTTCGAGGCTAGCCTGGTCTACAGAGTTCTAGGACACACAGGGCTGCACAGAGAAAGCCTGCCTCAATAAGATTAAAATATGAGGCTTTCGTGGAAAATAACATATGTATGTGAAAAGACAGTCCTGATCCAGCACCTAAATTCTGTGAGAGAAACGATGCGCCACAGTCTCTCTAATTATCGCCAGAATATAAAGAAATTCAGCTCTTTTTCCCTAAAGAAATGAAAAAAAAAGAAGACGGGCTTGAAGAGCTGGCTCAGTGGTTAAGAGCACTTGACGTTCTTCTAGAGGACCCAGGTTCGGTTCCAGCAGCCACATCAGGAAGCTCACAACCACCTATAACTCCAACTCCAGGAGATCGAAGCCCTCTTCTGGCCTGCTCCGGCACTGTGCTGATGCACACAAGCCCACACACAGACATACACATATACACACAATTTAAAAATAAGAATATTTTTAAGTATCTACCAAGTAAGGAGCGAAAGGTAAAGTGTAGACACCTTGACAATCCACACGTCTCTACATGTGCATACTTCTAGACATTCCCAAAACCAGTTCATCCGAATGATTCCAACCTGCCTTGCTGCCCCCACTACGGCTTAGTGTCCTGTTCCACATCTCTTAAATACAGATGTTTGGGTTCTATTGTTTTCCCAAATGGTTTCTTCCAGAACTGGGAATAAGGAGCCATAGGAGGAGCCAAAAGCAATTGTTCTGAGGAGAAAAGGTAGAGCCTATGAAGCAGCCGGAGCTTGGAGGCAGGGGAATACCACCATTGATCTGCTTTCCATTCCAATCATTTTCACTAGTTATGATTACGTGTGCGTGCACACATGGTGTGGGAGGGAGTGTATACACACATGTGGAAGCCAGACAACGACACAGTAAAACTGATTCTCTCCTTCCACCTTTACATGGGTTGGAGATCTCAAACTCAGGTCTCCAGGCTGGGGCAGCAAGCGCCTCTACCCACTGAGCCACCTCACCAGCCCCGCATTCCAAACAGTTTTAATTAGAAGTCATCTTTGTGATGTCAAAGCAAAGACTGTCCAGATTTTCAAACTGGAAGGAGGCAACCTGGGGTCCGTTACCATGCCCGGAGATGGTCCTATTCCTGCCTTGGGGGGAAAGAAGTGTATGGAAAGGGAAGTGCTCTCCAGGGGACACAGGTACCCTGGTCACTGCTGCCCCAGGTGGACAGGTGGTTTTTCCCACAAGCCAAATGATAACAGAGTCAATAGAAAAGTCGAAAGGACTTTTCCTCAACTGTAGACCCTCCGCTCTCAGTTAAAAGTTAAAAATCAAACACATTCTCTAATGACCACTAGGGGTTCTGGGAAATCCGTAACTGCTTTGGACCCCCAGCACTTTCTCCCGACACGCTCCTTACAGCCCACAAGCAGCCTCTCAACCCAGAGCAGCCAGCGAGGGGAAGCCCTGTGAGCACAGGCAGGTGCCGGAGGTGAGGAGTCACTCCTGAGATGCCTGGGCTCTTCAAGCCATCTTCAGCTGGCCTTGCATACTGACCTTGTGAAAAAAAAACGACTTGGGAGATCTTAGCAGGGCGCTCTCTTCAGCTCTCTTACCTGACAGCCCTTGCCCCACCCTGAGGATTAGAACCAAATCTACCTTGTTCTCCAGTTCATCACGTTCCACATCTCGCTGATTTTTTCATGAAGCTGACCTACAGAGACGGCAGCCCCTCCATCCTGCTGCTGGAGGCGGGCTTAGGGGAGACTTGAACTTCAAAGCCTAGGGTTCCACGGAGGACACCTTAGGCTTAGAAATGGGAGAAAAGTCCAAATTCTTCCCACTTCCTGCTTTTAATTTCCATTTCCCAGTTTCCTTCTTTCTTTCTTTCTTTCTTTCTTTCTTGGCTTCTTAACTCTTTGCAAGATGATTCCAGTAGTTGTCTTCCTCTTTCCCACCAAACATCTCTCGGTCCTCGAACTACATTTTCAGGAATTCCAACTTGTGTTTTACACAGCCTTCCGAATTTCTCCCCACCACATTACCAAGGTCGGGAGCTACTCTGAGGCAGACTCGGGGGCCTTTGCCGTGCCTTAGGTGCTTTATCAACTCATCAGTGTCAAGATTTGGGGAACTTCTGCCAGTCCTGTGAAATTCCTAAAATCCCTGATGATTATGAGCAAGATCCCAAATGTTTTGGGGTCCCACGTGATGCCACAGATGCCAAGGTAATTGTTTTGGTTTTTCCCTGTAACCAAACTACCAAGGAAACCTGTTTTTTGTTTTTTTTCTGTCAACCTCCATCTTCTGATTTTAGTTCTCTTTATTGATCTTCAAAGATGCTGTGTTTAGACAGGTGTGGTGGTGCACACCTTTAATCCCGGCATACAGAGGCAAGCAGATCTCTGAGTTCGAGGCCAGCCTGGTCTACAAAGTGGGTTCCAGGACACCCAGGGCTACACAGAGAAACTCTGTCTTAAAAAAGCAAAGAAAAGAATGCTGTGTTTAAAACACAAATTAAGCAGTCAATAGTTTAATTCTGAGGGGGGAAAAATGTCCTTATTAACCCTTGTCTGCCATCCCCACAGAAGCCACCGAAAAGTCCTTCTTACAGGGCCTGCTGAAAGTGAAGTGAACGCGTTATGTAGAAATTTCTCTTACTGACCCCTGTAGACGCTGCTGGCCTGGAAGAACTAACTGCTCTGATGTCGGGACCTTCCTCAATGGCAGAGAGTACTGATGTTGTAAGTCTGTTGTAACAAGGCTCTACAGATCCCAGATGACTTCCAATGGCAGTTTTGACAATGAAACCTAGTTCTGCATATAAGACTAATCCCCATAGTTTGCTTGAGATATGGCCTTATATTGTAGCTCTGGCTAGCCTGAAACTCACTATGTAGGTCAGGTTGGTCTTAAAATTGCTGCAATCCTCCTGTCTCTGTCTCTTAGGTGCTGGGATAACAGACATGCTAGGATAACACCATGAACCTGGCCCGTAGTTATTCAGTTAAAGGTCTTTTGGACAGACACCTTATTTCTTTAAACTTCCTTTGAGGCAAGATAGGAAGACAGGAAACCATAGGGACGTGGAAAGGAGAGGGAGCCCCCATTGCAGAGTCTGTCTGAAGTCTATGGTCAACTGAGAAGCAAGCATTCCAACATCATTACTGTTTGCTGTAAGGTTGTTGACACAGAGATGATACTCATAACAATGAAAGAGGCCTGAGGCCAGATAGCCCAGAGACCCAGGATAGAACCAAATACAACTGGTTTAAAAAAAAAAAAGTCGATGAAATGATTCCTAATGATACTCTGCTATACTCATAGATTGGTGCCTAGCCCAATTGTCATCAGAGAGATTTCATCCAGCAACTGGTGGGAGCAGATGCAGAGAACCACAGCCAAAACATAAGGCAGGGCTTGGGGAACCCAACAGAAGAGGGGGAGGAAGGATAGGAGCCAGAGGAGTCAAAGATGCCAAAAGAACATGGCCCACAGACTCAACTAAGCAGGACTCATGGGGGCTCACAGGGCCTGTACGGGTCTGAGCTAGGTCCTCTGCATATATGCTGTGGCTGTATAACCTGGTGGTTTTGTGGGACTCCTAACAGTAGGAATAGGGGTGTCTCTGACTCTTTTGCCTGCACTTGGGACCCTTTTCCTCCTACAGGGTTGCCTCATCCAGCCTTGATATGAAGGTTTGTGCCTAGTCTTATTGTAACGTGTTAAACTGTGTTTGGTTGACATCCCTGAGAGGCCTGCTCTTTTCCGAAGGGAAATGGAGGAGGAGTAGATAGATCTGGCGGAAGTAGTGGGGGGACTCAGTAGGGTGGAGGGAGGGAAAACTGCTGTCAGGATGTAATGTATGAGAGAAGAATAAATTTTTTTTTACAATATATGTAAATAAAACATTTAAAATTATGTTTATTTTTTAAAGTTTAAAAAATTAAAATAAACATAAATAAATAAAAGAGGCCTGGATGTGTATGACCTTGGGTGGAGCCTCACTCCTGGGGATCTCACCAACAAAGCTATTAGCTTTCTTTTTTTACAGGTGTGCATGTGTACATGTATGTTTGTGGGGGGGTGTACAGGGGTGTGTGTGTCATGATACATGTCAGGGACAACCTTGGGCGCCATCCTCACTATTGTGTTTGAAGAAATCTTTCTTATTGTTCTCACCCTGGAAAAGCCAGCGTCGTCAATCTGAGCCTCAGGTTGAGATTCTCCCACCCGCTCCTCCCAGCTCCCCACAGGAGCGCTGTAATTACAGATGTGTGCCGTGTCTGGCTTTTACATGGGTTCTCGGGACCCAAAGGCAGGTTGTCAGGCTTTTGTGACAGGTGACTTATCTACTGAGCCATCTCCTAGGTTCCTGTGGTCTAGAGTCCTTCCTTATCAATTGTCACCCTATCAGGTGCACTTTGGGAAACACCTCGTGATCTCACTTGAATTCCTTAATACCCCTCTGAAGAGAATGACTTCAAAAGTCACCAAAATCCTATTCCATGATTTTGGTGGTTACATAGATAACCACTGCAAAAACCAGGAAGAGTAGCTGTCTGAGGAGCCCACAGTCATTCTGTGGTGGTCTGAAAGGAAATGGCCCCTAAGGAGAGTGGCACTATTAGGAGGTGTGGCTTTGTTGGAGTAGATGTGGCATTGTTGGAGGAAGTGTGTCTCAGTTCACTTCCTGTTGCCTGAGGATCTGGATTTAGAACTCTCAGCTCCTTCTCCAGCACCATGTCTGCCGGCATGCTACCCACCGTGAAGATAATGGACTAAACCTCTGAACTGTAAACTAGCCCAATTAAATGTCTTCCTTTATAAGAGTTGCCTTGGTCACAGTGTCTCTTCACAGCCATAGAAACCTTAACTAAAACACATACTTTGGGGTTTGTCATACTTTCTTCCTGAGCACACGTCTCCTAGGACTTGGGCTTAAAAGCTGTATCACGGTCTCTTTCACTGAACTCCAGCTCTGCTCCACACTGGCTCTTCCCGAAATTCTTTTCCATGGTGCTACCAAGGATCCAGTTTTGCCTGAAGCGGCCCCCAAATGAACTTTTCAGGGGTCTGAGGGAGATGGTTGGAGCTGTGCCTCTGTCCCACTGCCACTGACATTTCCATTCCAGAGAAAAACAGGCAGATTTGAAAGATGAGAATTACCCTAACTCTCGTTGCTTCCACACGCCATCAACATCCATATTTCCGCCTGTGTCACAGTACATTGGTGAAGATATTTGTAAGCCAAGACCACACTGAAGAGGTTTTCTTTTCTGCCCCCCCATCTTTTGTCTGTCCTAGAGTCCTGTCTGTTTGGGTTGGGTTTTAGTTTTGAGACAGAGTCTCGGGTCTGCTGCCTACACTCCTTCCTAGATTGTCCATTGGGTTGAGACAAGGTCTCATGTGACCCAGGCTGGCCTTGAACTTGGTCCTCCTGCCTTTGCCTTCCCCAGCTCACTACATGCTGGCATTTAAAAGCCTGTGTGCCACCACCCACCATAGCCAGCTTGATTTTTTTTTTCTACTTCACCTTTTAAGAAACACTTTGGGGCCGGGCGGTGGTGGCGCACGCCTTTAATCCCAGCACTCGGGAGGCAGAGGCAGGCGGATCTCTGTGAGTTCGAGGCCAGCCTGGGCTACCAAGTGAGTTCCAGGAAAGGCACAAAGCTATACAGAGAAACCCTGTCTCGAAAAACCAAAAAAAAAAAAAAAAGAAAGAAAGAAACACTTTGGGGTTTGTTTTGATTAGAACAAACAACGTCTTTTTCTTTTTCCCAACACTGTCTCCCATCAGACTGAATGACTGAATCAGATCCTTTAGCTTAAAGCAACATGTACATCTTCCAGATCATCACTCATTTGTCCAACTACTATTTATTGACTATGCAGTATCTGACAAGCACTGTCATATACGAGCTACCAAGAGCAAAGCACACTAAATCCTTGCTTTGCAGTTTCCATTCTGGATTAGGAGACAGGAAAAAGATTTTGAGACAGGGTCTCACTATGCAACCCTGGCTAGCCTGTAACTCACTCTGCTTCTCAAGCTGGCCTTGAACTTAACAGAGATCTGCCTGACTCTGTCCTGGGTTAGAGGCTTGTGCCTCGATGTCTTGTCCTGCAATTTTTTTTCTTTCTTTCTTTCTTTTTTTTTTTTTTTTCAAGACAGGGTTTCTCTGCATAGTCCTGGCTGTTCTAGAACTCACTCTGTAGATCAGGCTGGCCTCAAACTCAGAGATCCACCTGCACCACTACCACCCAGCCTGAAATTTTTTAAAAATCAAGTTAATATAATAACATCTGGAAAGGATGGAATCTGCAAAAAAAAAAAAAAAAAAAGGAGAAAATGATCGAAATTTCACATTTTCCTTCAGTTCTGTTGTCCCTTCTAATGCAGATCGAATTTTGTGATAGTTCCCTACCCTCCCTGCCCTCAGTCCTCTTCCTTGGGCCCTCCTTCGTTTGGTTAAAAGTTGCTTGGAATTAACAGACTTGGGAAAGTGTTCTTTTAAAACAAAGATGGGGTCATCAAGGCGCAGCAGAGACCATAGAGACCAAACGCTCTTTCCCGGCGCCAAGCACTCCAGTGTGAAAAGATGCACTTGGATTCGTGACACAGTGCGATAATGAGGCCATCCCCTCCACAGCTAAATTTAGCCAACATCAAGGGAGTGACCCACATATCCATAATAGATTTCAAGTCATACCTGGCTTTAAAAAGGCGTTTACACGAGCGCAATGGCAGAGGCGGGTCAGAGGAGAACCCGGGTGAGCATGGAGAGCATCTGGAGGCGTTGGGCCAGTGAGGCATCACATCGGCAGGGAGGAGACCTGCCCCCGCCCTAGGCTCTGCTCAAGCTGCCCAGCCTGCCGGAATAGTCTCTCTTAATAGTCCGCTGTCCAGTGATCAGCTTGTCCTGGGTACTTTGCTCAAATCAAGTCAACAACCCTACTGAATTGTATCAATGCCTTCACCGTAGCCTTTCTAAAAGTCTGCCTCATACAAGCCACTCCATCGATGTATTTTCAAGGTATGGACATTCAAACAAACAGAGTCTGTTTCGTCTGTTTGATTTCCCATCAGGCTAAGCAGCAGATTTGCAGATAACTGTTCACCAAATATGAATGAAATTGACAGGAGGCTGTTTCTTCTACTCCTTCTCATGATCTAAGAGCCATACAGTTAACACGGCTTTACTCTCCTGTTGTGGGCTCGCTCTAGTTCGGCCCACAACAATGAACTCTTGCAGGATACTTCTGGGAGCTAACTGTTTCGCTGACTTTACCAGCATTTAAACTTAACTAATATAAATAATATTTCCCCAGCTGTCTGCTCTCCTGGGCTCCTGTCTTCCTGCATGAGAGGGCCTAAAAACCCAACTTAAGGAACTGGTGGGATGGCTCAGTAGGTAGAGGTGTTTGCCTCTGATACCCAACAACTTGAGTTCAATATCAGAGACCCATATGGTAGAAAGAGAGAACTGATTGCTGCACACGCCACACACACATACATAGACATACATTAATAACCATAATTAAATTAATAATAATTTTTAAAAAGAGCCTCCCCCCAGGCCCTGATAACAGATAATAGTGTTAAGTCTAGAGAGAAGCACAAAGCTCAAACCGGCTTTACAAGACAAAATATGGCAGTGTAAATATCCATGATTGCTAAGGACAGAACTTTAATTCCATTTCTGGTTAGAAGACAGAAGCCAAATAAATTCTATTTGCAGAGTTGGGGCAGCCTGCTAGAATTGGCTTTGCAAAAAATCCAATTATTGCCATTGTTTAAAATGTTTTAATTTTTTTTCCCAGTCACCATACTTGAACGTTTGTAATGCTAACACTCTTAATTCTCAGTTCTCCCTGGAAAAAAAAATTAAGAAAAACATATTTTAAAAAATGTTTTCACACAAGGTCTCATTCTGTAATCTAGGCTAGCCTTGAACTTGTTAAACTCGTGTCTTAGGTTCCTCAGTGTTAGGGGTTCTGGTGTGCACCACCACACCTGGCTGAGAAAAGGTAGCTCTTCCTGTGTCCTCTCTGAAGACAATGCTGTTGTATGGTGTGATGACCACAGTGACCATGGCGTAGGCAAGAAAAGCAGAGCCGAGGTAGGGTATAGGTAATGTGTTTTACAAACGGAATACGTTTTCCTCTGCCAACCAGCTCTCTCAAAGGTACAGAGTGAGTGGCCTCTGCCCTACCTGTCCCTTGGCCTTGTTAAGAGAACAAATGTCAGGATACACGTGGAGGCATCTAAGTGTTAGAAATCGCTGTGTGTAAAGGACAGTCACCACTATTCATGACAGTCTTCACAATAAGGCGTTTGTCGTTACCTGGTAGATCTGTGTGGAAGGGCTATTCACCGGCATATGTTCATTCTCTCCTGCAGGAAGAAAGAGCTTTATTCAATCGACACAACTCGCTCTGTGCCTCTCCTACTCTCACTGGATACGTGGAGGAAATAGACACACGAGAGGATCCTCTGACTGTGCCTGAATGGCAAGAACCAGATGATTCCGGAACAAAAAAATAAATAAATAAACTAGTGCCGGTGATGCTCATATTTATACCCTAACGGCTGAACTATACCTACCTGACAAAATTATCATAGCTGAAAACCCTTTCTTGCCACAAAAGTGAAGTTTCTCTACCAAACTCAGTGATTGTCGGTCATTAACTGGCTGGATGGGGATGCCCTGGGGGTGTCTCCCCCATATCCTTAGAGCTGACTGAAGTTTGTCTGAGCTGACATCTGCTCTTTGCCAGGGTTATGGTTGGTATGAATTGTCAACTCTTCACCTTGTAGGCAAACCTCTGGGCACACTTATGAGGGACTGTCTAGATGAGGGTTGGCCCCGGAGAATATCCAGGAGGGATCGTCTTGGTTAAATTAATTCATGGGGAAAGACTCCTGTTACATTGGGGCAGGACCATCCCCTGAGCAGAGTGGACATCCTGGGCTGTATGAAATGGAGAGCGCAAGGGGCTGGGGGGATCATACGGTGATTAACAGTACTTGCTGCTCTTGCAGAGGACACAGGTTCGATCCCCATCACCCACATTATTGCTCACAACTATCTGTGACTCCAGTCCTGGAGGGATATGACACTCTCTTCTGGCCTCTGCGGGCACCAAGCAGACATGTGGTGCACAGACACACATGCAGGCAAAACACTCAGACACATAAAAAAAAAATAAACATTTTTTAGGAAAATGGAGAGGGCAAGCCGAGGGACGTACTAATGTGCTGCTCTCTGTTCTTCTGTGTGGCTGGAAGGTGACCTGGTCTCTCAGGCACCTCCTGCTGTGACTTCCCTGCCATGATCAACTGTCACCTGGAATTGTGAACAAATGAGACCCATCTCCCTCAAGTTGCTTAGGTCAGAGTATTATAGAATAGCAACAAGAAAAGGAAGTAAGTCGGCCACGTGGTCGCTTGGCTGTCACGGGCTGATCTCAGGAAGAAACATGAAATGTTCCTCTTCCTATGTCTCTATGATCATCTTGCCAAACTTCTGCTCTCTGCCTTCATCTCAGTGCCACAGTCAGTGGGGGGACTCATGTCCAACGAGGCAGGTGGGCTGATGGGAAAGAATTGTCAGTGGAAAGTTTCTGGAAGATTATAGGCAGGAAGAAAACCGTTATCACCAGCACTGGAGTCTGGAGACATGGGGAAACACGAGGTTGATGGAGCAGGCTATAAAAAAATCACTTACAACTTAGGGAGGAAACCAGGTTGGTTTAGAAACTACCCTTCAGAACCACAAGGGTTGGCCACGGGATGAGGCCACTGATGCAGGGTGTTTGCTCAACCACGTGGCTGCTACTCCCGTGGAGGGTCACATCGCACAAAGGTCACATTGCAAGAAGCAGACAACCCTCGTGAAACTCCCGCCTGCAAGCCTTTGGCTGCGCGAGTATGCGTATTCTTCTTCTTAGACATACGAGTCTTAGAGGAGCCAGCCTCCATACGGTAAGTCTTAACTAATGCGTCACCTCAGCCTAGGACTTGCACTCGGTAGAGGCTGTCCCTGTAAAATCCCAGTGGTTGGGGTTACCAAAACCTCCTCATACAAGCTTGGGTAAGGACAACTTAGCCCATCTCATACTCTGTCCAAACAAATGGCAAGAACTAAGACTGAGCCACATGGACCAGGACCTCAGGTCTAAATCTGACACTTTGTAGTTGTGGCCTAACTGGGTCTCCAAGGGGATAATGGGAAAAGGGTATTTGGAAAAGGTGGCGAGACAGAGTAACTCCCGCATTTCTGGAATCCCAAGCTCCAAGGCGAGCTGGAGATCTGACCTTGCTTTGTTTTTGTTTTTTCCATGGTGCCTGTTGCTCCTCTCCTCCAGCTCACTCTTCAGCATTGCGTCATCATCGTCCTGGGTCAGGCCACCGCCCCTTCCCTGCACCTGCCGATCAAAGAATAAAGGACATCTGGTAAATTCATGAAGATACTGGACTAGTTTTACAGGTTAGCTTTTAAATACCAAGCACAGCTTAAAGCTGAGCAATTTCAGAAGAATAAGTTACTAAATTGAATAAACCTAAACTTTTAAAGTCAGGGGCTGGAGAGATGGTTCAGCAGTTAAGAGCACTGGCTGCTCTTCCAGTGGACCCAGGCTCAATTCTCAGCACCCACATGGTAGCTCACAACTGTCTGTAATTCCAGTTCCGGGGGAATCAAAAATCCTCACACAGACATACATGCAGGAAAAACACCAATGCACATAAAATAAAAATAAATAAATTATTTAAAAAAGAAAAACTTAGCTGGGTATGGTGGCACACACACACCTTTAATCTCAGCACTCAGGAGGCAGAGGCAGGTGGATCTCTGCTGTGGAACAATCTTTGTACATTGTAAATATGTATTATTCTCATTGGTTAATAAAAAGCTGATTGGCCAATGGCTAGGCAGGATTTTGGGGACAGAGAGAATACTGGAGAGAAGATGGGTGGAGCCTGAGGAGAAGCCAGGAGACATAGATGAAGCAGGGGATGAACATGTCGTGTTGAAAGAAGATACTGCCACGTGGCAGAGGGTGGATAAGAAATATGTGTTAACTTAAGTTATATGCTAAAAACAAGCCTAAGCTATCGGCTGAGAATTTATAATTAATATTAAGTCTCTGTGTGGTTATTTGGGGAGAGGCTGGTGGGACAGAAAAACTGCCTACAGATCTCTGTGAGTTCAAGGCCAGCTTGGTCTACAAGTGAGTTCCAAAGCAGCCAGGACTACACAGAGAAACCTTGTCTCGAAAACAAACAAACACACACACATACACACACACACAAAAACCCATCAGGTGGCGGCGGCGGCGGTGGCGGCGGCGGCGGCGGCGGCAGCGGCAGCCTTTAATCCCAGCACTGGGAGACAGAACCAAACAGATTTCTGTGAGTTTGAGGCCAGCCTGGGCTACTAAGTGAATTCCAGGAAAGGCACAAAGCTACACAGAGAAACCCTGTCTCAAAAAACCAAAAACAAACAAACAAACAAACAAACAAAACAAAACAAAAACCCTTAAAGTCAGATATTTTAATTTATTATTATTGGGGAAGGGCCCATACCATGAAAAACACAGAGGACAACCTGTGAGGTTGGCTCCCCTTTCACCTTTATATGGGTCCTGGGATCAAACTCAAGTCATCAGGATCCTAAGGCAAGTGGCGGCACTTACCAGATGAGAGTCGTCTCACTGGCCTGCAGACACATTTTGTGACTATAAAACTCATTACTCAAAAATATGGGAGATTTTTGTTTGTTTTGTTTTTGAGACAGAGTTTCTCTGTGTAGCCCTGGCTGTACTGGAACTCACTCTGTAGATCAGGCTGGCCTCAAACTCACAGAGATCCACCTGGCTCTGCCTCCTGAGTGCTGGGATTAAAGGTGTGAGCCACCACCACCTGGCAATATGGTATTTTTTTTTAATATGCTACATTCTTCTTTGGATCCAATCAATTAATTAAGACTTACTGGCTTTTTTTTTTAATGGATTTTTTTTTTCTTTTTTTCTGGAGCTGAGGACCGAACCCAGGGCCTTGCGCTTAGCTAGGCAAGTGCTCTACCACTGAGCTAAATCCCCAACCCCAGACTTACTGGCTTTATTAGCAAGTTGCTGTTTAGGAAAATTACATTACAAAGGAAAAGCTGAGCAAGAAAGACCGGCCTGTTTCTACTCACCATTCTTAGCATCTGGCCGGTTCCTCTGTGCCCAGGAGAAGCTTCACAAATGAAGACTGCCTGTTGTGACACCCCCCCCAACCCCCCCCCACCCCCGACAAAAAGCTGTAAGTTCAGAATGCTGTCTGACACAGAGGAGGAGAAACCTTGCACTCAGCCACGCCCCCTTTCAGTATTTTAACCCTTTCTTGTCTTTGATAAATTCCTCCACCTCATGAACTTCCCACAACAAAGGCTGAAGGTGCCAGGTTCTCCTAGTCTCCCATATCTCAGGCGTGATGGACACATGACATCGAGCGTTACGTTTGTTTTTCCTTCGCGGACAGGGTCTCATGCATTCAGACTGGCCTCAAACACTGTGACCTTGAAGGTCTGATCCTCTAGCCTCTACCTCCTGAATGCTGAATTCCAGGCAGCCATGGGCCAGTATACCCAGGTTTGTTTGGGTTTTTTGTTTTGTTTGTTTGTTTATTTGTTGGTGCTGGTGATTGAACCCAGGACTTTACGCATGCTAAGAAAGCACTCTACTGACTGAGCTACAACCTCACCCCCCTCCATAAAGTTTTTAAAATTATTGTTAGGTGTAATTCTGTTGCTATTGGGGGCAGGGGGGAGTCTTGAAATATGTAAAGCCAAATTGTTATGGATTATCTACTTCTGAGGATTTAGTTTTCTGACCTATAACTACTTGGAAACAGGCAAACAAAAACTCCGTGTCCTAAGTAAATAGAAAATGTGTGTATTTCAGAGCTACGGTATCAGAAAAGCTCAAGGATACACATCTGTGTGGCCACTGATTTAAAAATACAAAAAAAAAAAAAAAAGGTGTTTGATCAATAGAAGTTAGAAATCTTGTTTTAGTTAATTACAAAAGCAAAAGTAACTACACACACATAAAACAAGACAAAAACAAAAACAACCTGGAGGCAGATAAGATGAAATGGGAGATGGCAGTGGCCAGGGTCGCAGCCCCGAGAGTCCGGTGGCCACAGAGGATAACCTGTCGCACGGTGCCACTGGGGACACTGGCAGCCTTTCACTTGACCAAGGGCATGCCGCCAGAGTGGTATCCTAGGACCCCAGAAGAACAGGCCCCAGCTGCCAAGAAGTATAATATACCTGTGGAAGACTTACAAGCCGTCCCCAGGGCTGGCATGGGGCAGGGTGACCACCCGAAGCTCCCTGACCGCTCCTAGCAAGAGAGGAATCCATGGCACGAACCAGACCACACAGGCCTGAAGTTGAACTGGGGGGAACAGACACACTGGGACACAGACATGTACATCAGGAATCGTGTGGACACGCCCCCTACACCTGTTTCATGGGATGTCATGTGTAAACAGCTCTTCGGCTTCGTGACTTCCACGTTCTGGGTGGGGGAGACTTTCTCCTCCTACGTGCCTTTGGGGCCGAAGCAATGTCTCTAGAATAATCTGTGCCTGGAATGAGGTGACAATCCTACAGAAAAAAAAACCAAAAAACAAACAAAAAACAAAAAACGGAGCCGATGGTTCACTATGAGATCTGAGGGGGCTTCGCGGGGTTTTGTGCCCTCTAACTAGGACCCTCTCATTCCTAGAGATTTAACCTTAATAGAATCGCTAGTAAAACTGTGTGCTGTGGTTAAAACCAAACCAAACTTGGAAAGGACCACGGGAAGACGTACAATGAGTCTCCTTGAACAGCTGTCATCATTTTGCTTACATTGTTTGACAATCTATGACGTCAATAGCCTAGGATTTTTAGCGACTGTTTCCTCTTACCCCAAAGCATGGCATTTTAATCTAATTTCGGCATTGGATTATTTATGCCCTATTGTGGTCCTTTCGTCCCTAGTCCCTGCTGACATCCACCTCTGCTGTTCCTCCATGCCTTCCTCTGTCCTCACGAGATCACATCCAAACGCATGTGCAGAATAATCCTGTGTGTGATGAGGCCGCCACCGGAGACTGGCTTCCCACCTTCCTGTACTTTACCTGTCTCGCTGACTGCATCACCAAGACATCTCTAGACTTACGAGTTTATGTGTAAGAAAGCATGCCTGTTGGCTGCTCGCTGTTCCTTGGTTTGAGTGAACTCTGTCGATCATTCCTACATGGTTAGGTGTTCCCCTTATTTCCATGATTTTGCCACTGCAAACAGTGCCCCCAAGAAAAGCCTCGGGGCCAGAGGTTACATGCCGGCAGATTTAAGATTCATTTTGATGTGTGAGTCTATGTCTGTGTGAATGGAAGCCACATGTGTGCACGTGGAGGCCGAAGGAAGGCGTTGGATCCCCCGGAGCTGGCGTTATAGGCAGTTGTGAGCTGTCTGGTAGGAGGGCTGTGACCCACCTCACATCCTCTGGAAGAGCAGCAAGCAATCTTAGAAGACGTGGGGGCCTTTTCTTTTACATTAGTCTGGCCAAGAGGAAGCGTAACAATGTTTACCTCTTGTCAGTCAGGCAGATGGGTGACAAGTGCTATTTCATAGTTATTTCTGCTGACTGCCAACGGCTGACCATCTGGGTGTGTTTACTGGTGAGTTAGCTTTGTCGCTCTGTAAATTATCTGTTCCTCTGAGGTGACAGTTACCTAGTCCTCTGGTCATTTGTTTTTTACATGTAAGCTGCTAAGAAATAATATATAAAAGAGACGATCACATGCTAATTGTTACCATTGTTTTTTAATTATTTTTATTTTATTCCACCTGTATGTTTGCCTGATGTGTGTCTGGGTACCACATGTGTGCATGCTCATGGAAGCAAGAAGGGGGTGTAGAATCCCCGGAACTGGAGCTGCAGACAGTTGTAAGCAGCCATATAGGTGCTGGGAATCAAACCCAGGCCCTCCAGATGTAAAGTTTGTACTTGCACAGGTAAAAGGAGCCATCCTGTCCCTTCATGGAACTGGAATCCCGATTTTTGTAACATATTGAATGCCCACATACAGTGGAATCTATTGTGGTCTCTTTCTTCTGTGTATGTATGTATCTATATACGTGTATCTATTATCTGTCTGCCTGCCTGCCTGCCTGCCTATATATATATATATATATGTGTGTGTGTGTGTGTGTGTATATATACGTGTGTGTGTGTGTGTGTGTGTGTGTGTGTGTGTGTGTGTATTTCCCTGCTTCCAAACAACAGGTTGTAGATATTCTTTAGTGTGTTAAAAATATTTGGTGAGAGGCCAGAGAAATGGCTCAGAGGTTAAAAGCACTGGCTGCTCTTCCAGAGGACCTGAGTTC